TTCCTCACGCAAGTGTCCTGACCATTAGACTGCACGCTTGCTTAGACTTCGCTTCACCTGGCACTGCGTGCTGGTGTCTAGCACCTGCCTGGCGCGCTAGAGACACGGAGGATAGTTTGTGGAACACATCAATTGTGGGGTGCGAGAGACAGGATTCAAAGCCAGGCCGGCTTGGATCTTTAATCTGGTGGCACTGCTGTCTCTTCAATTTTTGTCTTCCTCTTTGTCTTGTGCGTGTTTACAGGGACCTGCTAATACTTTCCTAGCTCCTCTTCCCGGTCAAAGGAAAAATGCTTTTACGTGAAACAAAAGTAATTTACAGCGTAGTCCTTGAAGCTGTGGAAAATGAAAAGCTCCATTGCTGACACAGCTGTGTGAAGAGGCAAACCCCAGGAGGAGAAGGAGTTTGAGGCCTTTAACCTCTAGCTCTTTCTTGGTACCTTGGAGGACAAAAGCTGACTTGTCACCCACCCAGAGCCCCATGGTAATTTCTAGCTGAGGCTCCAGGGCTGCCTTTAGAGTGGGTTGTTCTTCTGCCTCCAGGTATTTTTATTGTCAAGAGCCATGTCAGCTTCTTTAGGGCCAGGCTCCAAGTTCACACCTTCAGAAGCCCTGTGAGGAATGGTGTCCACTTCTGTGACATCACATGTACCCTGGCAATGTGGCTTTTGCTCACTGGGAACAGCTGCTGATCTTGTCAACTAGTGATATCTCCAGTTTTTGGTATTTGATTCTCTTGCTGAGTCTAAGCTACTGTTGGCTACAACATCAATGAAACAGGTGTTTTTACGGCAGTGTAATGGGCCCTCTGAAACAAGTTTGCAAATATTTAAGACTGTCAGTCTTCTACTCCTCTACCACCAAATTCAAAAGACTGAGCAATTAGAAGTCGGATGCTAGGTTTAAAAACTCTCTCTCTAACCATTTGACTTTCAGCAGCTGACAGAATCTCTCTGCCTCAGCTCCCTACCTGCAACATGGGGATAAAACTTGCCTCTCAGGGGAGTGAGAGGATTAGACAAATTAATATGTGAAAAGCTTCTGGCATCGTGCTGGGCCTGTGATACACATAAGACTAATTTTACTGACTTCCTTAGATTCTGCTAATGAACGCATGTCACTTAACGACATAGACTCTAATTGGGATCACATTCACCTAAAGGAATTTGTTTATCAGGTGCCTGTATTCTATTCTAAATATAACCACAACTTTTATATTTTCTAATTTCCAAAATAGTAAGTTTATTATAAAAATTAGAAAATACAAGTAAGCAAAAAGAAGAAAGAAAAAAATAATTTGTAATTGCACAGCCAGCTGTAAATAATTTTCAAGTCACACTTCAGGAAGTTTGGCATATGTCCTCCTAGCAGGGTGGGCTGTGTGTGTGTGTGTGTGTGTGTGTGTGTGTGTATGTGTTTGTGTATATTAGTGATTTAAAACAAAAAGTAATTACTGTCTGTAATATATTGTAACATGTTTCCTACATTTTTGGACACAGTGTGGGATGGCTGTGTGGATTGTTGTACTATTGTGGCTCAATCTGTCCAGTTGCTGGAGGTGAAATTGCTTGGATTCCTACCTTAAGTGCCTTTGTAATGGTATTGGTATATACCACAGTTCTAAGCAGCTAAGGGCTTGCAATTGAGCTACTATCATTGGGCTATTCTCTCTGTTCTTCAAATCTTTTGATTCCAGCAAAGTAAAACATTTCCTGGTAAGAGTAAGACATTACATTATTCTGACCTGATCCAGTAGGCATTCACACATCTTGAAAAGGCAGAGTGTTTTTTGCTTATGGCATAACTTCCCCAGAGTGCTGAGAAAGTAGGATACACTTAGCCCATTTGCAAAGAGGACCTTTTGGCCCATGTCATGAAGGGAGAGGACTCAGGCAAGAACAGAACCAGTGAACTGCTGAGTTTGTCCCAGATCTGGAATCCTGGGCTTGGCAAAGAGCTTCATGTTGAGATTAATTAGTTATGTTATAGGCACAAGTGGTCTTAGGAGACTGACAAATCTCCATAAAGCCAGCAACTCCTTTTCACAGAGGAGACTCAGAAGAAGATAAGATGCAGGAAGATCTAATTGAAAACTTGGGGGAACATCGGAGTTAAATAAATGAATTTCCTTCTAGAAGTTTGTTGGGAGAGAAACGCATGCAAGTAACAGATATGGCCAGAATTTGAGGGCCCAATATAAAAATCAAAAGATTCAGGTAAAGGTTAATTGAGAAATCTATTTTATTTTTCTTTACCTTAAGCTCCTATATCACATTAAGTTAGAGATTTACTTAAGACAGAGATTTATTTCACTGACTCTGTAAATACCAGGCTGACATTAGTTTTGTTTTACTCACTTCTTGAACTTTGTGTTTTCGGTTGTGAGTCAGCCTTGGGAATAAGCTGGCCTCTGCCATTGGCTTTTGGAACACATCTGGCAGGCTGCAGAGAACCCCCAGGATTTTTGGCTCCAAAGATATTGGCTTGCATTTGGACTCAGGGAAAGTTTCCAGTGATTGCCATTGAAGTTTTTTTCAGACACCAGAGGACGCTGTTAGCTTGAGCCAGGGTTGGGCTGGCCAGGGTCCCAAATCCCAGGCGAATCTAGTCAACATCCCAAAGGGTGAGGGGTGTGGGCCACCCTTTGTCTTAGTCCATTTTGTATAGCTATAACAGAATACCACAGACTGGGTAATTTATAAGAAGAGAAATTTATTTCTTACAGTTCTGGAGACTGGCAAGTCCAAGGTCAAGGAGCTGATATCTTCTGTCTATATCAGCGCATGGGGCAAGAAAGCCTCTTATTAGGCACCACCTCCCAACCCTGTTGCACTGGGGATTAAGTTTCCAGCACACGAACTTTGGGGCACACATTCAAACCATAGCACCCTTCTATAGCCATGAGAAAATGCAGCTGCTTACTTGCATTGTCCTTGTAAAAGTTCTGCAACAAGCTTCATCTAAAGAAGTTCTGTGAGTGTCTACTGTGGGCTGTGGTGGTGACCACAGGGACCTGTCCTCATCTCTTGGGCCACACAATCTACATTGCCAGGAGAGATGAGCACAGAGTGCTTTGGGGGCTGGGGTGGAGAGTGCAGCCTCCTTGTCTTGGGTAACCGGGCCAGCTTTGCTGGGGAAGAGGGGAAGGCTAGAAGAAGGAATAATGGTTTTCTGGGTGAGATGTGTGAAAGAGGCCCTCAAGACAAACACATAAGAATTTTATGGATGTTTTCAGGGAGCAAGGAGAAGCATGAAACTATAACTCGTGGTTCATTGCAGGACTATACAGAACAGTTCAGAACATCTAATAAATAATATAGCAGATGTCCATCTTGGTGCAGATTCAGGTGGTCTAGAAATAGCACTTTATTTCTTTAGGATCAACTTAATCCTGAGAAACTCCAAGCCCTTGGGTCTGATGTTCAGGTCAGACGTTCCAGTGCCTGGCCTGAGGATCACTTCCCACCTTCCTGCTCTGCCAGTGTGTAGTGGTGGGTGCTGGGAACTTCATGTGTAGGGTCCTACTGCTGGTATGAGTGAGAGGGGGATCTTGCTGCTCCTAGAACCCATGGCCAGATGCCCCCAGCCTCACCTCCAGACTAAGGATATCCTTTTAGTCTTGGGGATCTGAGGAATTCTCTCTGTTCATTCCTAGCCTTGCAGTCCCTCTTTCTGTCCTTAAACCCTAATCTTGTCTTTCAGCACATCCAGTATTATTGCCAAAGGACTTGGAGATGTGACTAAGGAAGGGAAGCGTTTTGTGTGACACACACACTTACACACACACACAGTTTTCCTCGGGGTAAGGAAAAACAGAGCCTCCTCTCCATTTGCATTTTTCAAGGTAAAAGGTGGGAAGAATGAGGAGAAAATATAAATTTTTATCTCAAAAATTATCCTGTCATTAAAAAGTCATTATGTTTTCCACTTCAAAAATGACTGTCAAGGTTTCTGAAGCCAGAGTGAGGTGTGGAGCCCTTGTTTTTCCTCAGGGCAAGGGGTTAACTGAGTCAGAGTTGCCCTGCAAACAAGAATAAACATGTAGCTCCCAATATTTTTAATTTCCCAGCCTTTTGATAACTTTATAAATGTAATGGGTTTATCTTGACATTAAAAGTGTTTTGACTCCATTTGGAAGGTTCCTATTAATAAACAATATTTATTTTCAGTTGGAATAAAATGAAATCTTTAGTTAAACCAACTTTTTGGTCTTAGGACCATTTCACAATCTTACCAGATATTGAGGACCCCCTAAGAGCTTTTGTGTATGTGGGTTATATCTATTGATATTTGCCATATTAGAAATTAAACCCAAGAAATTTAAAAAGTAATTAATTCAAAAGATAAAAAAATGATTACATGTCAACATAAATTACATATGTTATGAAAAATAACTATACTTTTTAAAACAAAAAATTAGAGTGGCATTTTTTATTTTATTTTGAAAGTCTAATATTTGACTTCACAGAGGACAGGTGGATTCTTATATCTGCTTCTGTGTTCAGTCTGTTGTGATTTATTGAAATCTGTGAGGAAAATCCTGCTCCACATAGACATGCTTTTGGAAAGGGAAGACTTCATGGACCCCTGAAAGGGTCTCAGGAACCCCTAGGAGTTTTGGGACCATTCTGAGAACTGCTGGTTTAAACAGATAAGTCACTAGGGTGTGCGATGGGTTTTTAATGAAAAATTGTCTTAAACAAGAATCTGAGTAAACTATGGGACAAATCAATCCCCTATGAATAGACAAATGACAGAGTTTGATCGGCTTAAGGTTTATTCCGTTCCTGGGTGATAGTTACGTTTCCAAGGAGAACCAGGATCAATTTTTACATTTATTCCTAGTTTGCTTAATCATTTTGAAATACATTCCAGTATCCCCAAATCCAACAGAAACAATGCTATTGTAATTTTATTTTAATGTGTTCCTTGTTGATAGATGTGCTTTGACATCACAGTTGTGGTGTTTTATGGAATCATGTGTTGCTCCCTCCTTACAGAAATACAAAGAGTATGAGAAAGATGTTGCCATAGAAGAGATCGATGGCCTCCAACTGGTGAAGAAGCTGGCAAAGAGCATGGAAGAGATGTTTCACAAGAAGGCTGAGGCAGTGCGGGTGAGTGCCTTGTTTCTGCTCTGTGCTGCCTGGAGGCACACAGGCAGCCTCAGGGGCTGGCACAGATGCCCTCCTCTCAAAGATAGAAGTTACATCAGCTATTACGTCAACATGTTTATTTCTTCCATTTGGTTAACCAGGAAAAGCAGTAACTAGGGACACATTCGCCCTTTTCATATAGGGTTCTGGTGCCAGTTTTCTTATAATTTTATGCCTTCAGCAGAGCTGCCACTAATTGTACAGCTATAGAGGGTGGGCCACAACTGTGTGTTTCATTCACTAATTGCCAAAAATCGCTTAAAGGCTCATTGTGGTTCAACTAAGCAACTCTAAATAAGTTAAGCAACACTTGCCAAAATGTGGAATTGAAAATCTCAATGGGGTAAACGATGTCTAGATGAAGTTGGAAGTTCTCCTTACCTCTATTGGAACATTACTGTAATTATTATGTTCGTTTTGACCACTAAGAGCTCCATGAAATTTCAAAATATCAGCCAGATGAAGGGAACTGCAGTGCACATGTGTATCATCTTGGATTTCCAAGATGACTTCTGACTTTATTCCTGTTGGCAACTGGACAGGCATCTTACATTCTTGATTTAGGACACGTGAATGTTATAATATCCTGCACTAATGCCATATTGGCACAGAATTGTGGGTAAGAATTACAATCTCGGGCCGGCCCAGTGGCGCACTGCTACAGTGCGCCGCTTGGGAGCGCGGGTTTGGATCCCACATGCAGACCGGTTCCCGCTCACTGGTTGAGCGAGGTGCAGGCGCGGCACCGAGGGTTGCGATCCTGTTGCCGGTCCCGGTCCAGTGCGGGTGCGACACTGAGGGTTGCGATCCGTTGCCGGACACGAAAAAAGACAAAAAGGGGAAAAAAAAAAAAAAGAATTACAATCTCAATTATTCTTTATTTCTAACGTATAGTTTGCTTACCTTTCAGTTTTAATAATTATCTCCAGAATCACTTTGTTATAAAAGACCACTTCCTACTTCATACTTAATTGGCCAAACCAAATTTCTTTTTTAAAATTTTTTACTTTTATTTTTTTCGTTAAATTTTTATTTTGTCAATATACAATGTATTAGATTATTATGGCCCATCACCGACACCTCCCTCCCTCCTCCCTCTCTCCCCTCCCACCCAAGAATGTCCTTTCCATTTGCTTGTTGTAACAACTTCAAAAAAGTATAGTTGTTATATCTTCTCCCCCCCCCCCCCCAGTATTTTTTTGTGTGTGTATGTGGGTGAATTAATTTGTTTATTTTTAGCTCTCACCAATGAGTGAGAACATGTGGTACTTCTTTTTCTCTTCCTGACTCTTTTCACTCAATATTATTCTCTCAAGGTCCATCCATGTTGTTGCAAATGGCAGAGCGAGCCCAAACCAAATTTCTACAAGTTATTTCTGCCTGACACCTGATAATCCCACATCTTTGCTTGTCTCTAAAACATTTT